ATTTGCTTTTGTTTACCAATTGTGCGCACACATTATATATATATATATATATATATATATGCGTATATGTATATATATATAGACAGAGAGTAAAAGAGAGAATGACCAAGCATGAGAGCAAGACAAAGAGAGCGAGCGATGGGGAGGGAGAGCAGGCTAGAGAAGGGAGAGAGAGACAGAGAGGGATAGAAGAAGAGAGACAGAGAAAAGAAGAGAGAGACATGAGAGAACGAAGAGAGAGACAGAGATAGACAAATGCGGAGAGAGGGAGGAGGAGAGGACACGAGGTCAGAGAGAGCAAGAGAGAGACATAGAAATAGAGAAAAAGAGCACGAGAGAGAGCACGGAGGAGGAGAGAGAAGCAGGGCCTGAACAAGTCGTGTGCTGAACAGGGGGCTCTGTGTGCACTCCTCCTGATCTGTCCAGAGTACAGACAGACGCAGGTATGAAGCCTCGCTCGCAGCCGCCGCGACGGAGCTCCGCACGCACGCACGAACCTTGTTAACGACGAGGAACTTGTCTACTCGATGACCGTCGGCTAGCTCCAGGTCCTCCGTCTCCTTGACCGCGTCCGGCAGCACGTCGCGCATCTCTTGGGCGAGCACGCCTGCACACACACGTATAGGTAAACACCAACGCTCGCTGATATCACCAACAACGAACAAGTCACGCGTGCCGGGGCGAGTACGCCTACACACACACACACACACGAACACACGCACGCACGCACGCACACATAAACACACACACACACACACGCACCCACACACGCACACACATAAACACCTCTAACTCGCAACATTAATTTCTCATAGACTACTGACAGAAACGTGGTCAAGTTACAGGTTTCTTGTACGCATGGTGTATAAACATCATATATAAACATATATAATATAAACATAAATATCATGGTCTACGAAATAATGTTAGGAGTAGCATTAAGACTGCTAGGTTGGTCAGGCAAGACCAGTTTGTACGTTTTTTTTTTACATTGCATCGCAACATCTCGTAGCCAGCGATGCATTTGTGATTGGTTGCGAGAGATCATGTGACGCATTACCTGCGTCTTCGAGCTCGTCCTCCGACAGGCCGGCGACTTTACCAAACGACTCGTGTACTTGTACTTGTATAGTTTCATCCTCGTGTACACAGCTCTCGCAACTGCGCTCTCCTCTCGAATCACCGCGCTCGCCGCGGGTAAGAAAAACCTCGTGGTTAGTTCATTGTGCATGAATTTCTGGACAAATACAGACCTGTTACATAATGCCTTTTTCCTTTTATTCATTCAAATTAGAATTTTGTTAATTTTTAATTATTACAATAAAATTATTAAAATGGTCTGTGAAAATGCGGACCTCTAAGCACATTTACTAATTTAACACGATCCCATTATATTTTCCTAGGTGACAACAGATGGTGGTACATGCATCACATGCCAAGCATAATGGTATTGGTGGAGGTATAGGGCGTACATATCTGTAGTACCTGTTACGACAACGACCCCTTGAGCGGTAGTGAGGGCATTACTGTGGTCAGCGACGTTCCGCAGGATTGTACGCCACCGTACTTGACCGTACATTGTTCATGTGTCTGTTGCAGCCGTGTCGTTGTTGACGCCGATTGCCGGACATTCGCCGCTGGCTCTCGGGCCGCAGCCGTGCATGCACTCGGTGCACGCGTGCCACGTGAGCAAGTGCTGTCAGCCCACGCAGCCGCACTCACCCCTGCTGAAGCCCCTACGCATCGAGTCAGAGCGTGAGTATCTACACGACGAATGCTGCGTGTTCCATGTGTTCTGTCCGTTCTGCGTGTTCCATGTGTTCCGGCCGTTCTGCGTGTTCCATGTGTTTCGTCCGTTCTGCATGTTCCTTGCATTCTGTGTGTTCTCTACATTCCATGAGTTCTATTTGTTCCATTTGTTCCGTTCATTCCGCGTGTTCCATGAGTTCTATTTGTTCCATATGTTCCGTTCCTTTCATGTGTTGCATGTGTTCCGTGCATTCCTTTCTGTCGTGTTCATTGGGGGCGTTTCCGGGCCATGAATGATGGCGGTGTTTGCACTTGTGTACTTAGTCGATGCTAATAATTTGGTCGCCATGTTCTGCTGGGTCACCGCGTTTGCGCTGGTGGCCATTGCCGTTTAGTTTTCTGCTAAGTCGTGATTGGTTTATTGAACGGCGGCCATCTTTGCAGACAACCAGACGCAGGACACTCCTCCGCTTGGAGACCCGTACAGCAGGCCGCAGGAGAATTCCATCACGAAGGAACCGCCGACCGGTAAGCTTTCCATTCCGTCTGTCTGTCCCTGCCTGCCTCTCACTGCTGACTGCCACGCGCTCCCGTACTCATGCAGCGACGATATTGTCTTAATGGTTTAAACGGCTCTGTATTCTCATAATCGATAAACCGTACCCGATTGCAAAAGTAAGTACATAACATAAGCAAATATTACAGTGTGTAAAATAACACAGATAAATAAAAATAATTCCTTATAATAATAATATAATAACTAATAAATCATAATAATAATAAATCATAATAAATATAAACTTCTATAAGACAATTAGTCAGCTAGAGTAGACTAAGCTATCAGGGGATAGAAGGTGTAGTAAATGCCTAGAACTGTGTCGGGATCAATGCCTTACATCGTTCTCTGTGCTTGTCACGCATTACCGACGCACGAATTACTCTGACCAGACTATATAGTACGCACTGTCATGTCAATCAAACGCTAAGCGTTGTCATATATCATATGTTGCGCTGTTTTCTTACGCGTATGGATACGTCGGTGTCTGGCGGTAAAAGGTCGGCGCGGGGTTCTGCCCGCCGTGCGTGAATAAAGATAATGTGTTTACCTAATGTATTACGCCTTCTCGTGCTACGCATACTAAACATTACAAGCGTCATTACCGACGCCATCGTGACAACAAGCGAACGCTCGCTTTCTCCGCAGAGCCGAGCGGTGGCGGCAAGAAGCACCAGTGGACGGATGACCTCGGGTCACGGCCGCGGCCCACGGGCACCATGATGAGCAAGGAGAGCGTCAGTCCGACGGGACGCTTCATCAACCCGTCTAAGGTGCTGCAGCCGCCGGAGATATCGCCGCCTCACTCTGGCATCGGCTACAACCCCGAGATGTCTGCAGGTCAGTACCTATGCTTCTCTACCTCTCTACCTCTCTCCCTCTCCTTTACTTCCCTCTGCGTCCCATGAGACGCAGTTCACCTGTGAGTTGGTGTGATATGAAAAAGGGTTTATGGCCCATTCCTTTCCTCCGAGTCACATGGTGTGGTTTATCTGTGAGTTGGTGTGATATGAAAAAGGGTTTATGTGCTGTAGGGGAGTGTAACTCACTTGGTCGTGCGCGGTGGGTCGAAATGCGAGCATGAAACTATTCGTGAGTGTGAGCGCCATTCGAGTGGCATCATAACGTATGTGGCTATCTAGGTAGAGAGCCCGTGAATGTGTTACATTTGGGAGAACTCCCCACGCAAGTTATCTGCAGTTTGGGTGATGCATTGACATATCAAATCGAGTTGTCTTTGTTGGCGTCGATAATCGTAGCGATGAAATGATGATGTATGTAATCACGATGTCTTTGTGTGTTTAATCATTATGGGAATGCGTTGATGTATTTAAGCGAGGAGCGTGTACATCAACATGCACACGTACCAAACCGTCAAGGTAACACATTAGCATCTTTCGTCAAGAGGACATCTTTCTTTAATCAAAGTAGTCGTCGGGGTAAATTCTCTAGTGGGACCTTATTGAAATACGTGGGATTTCCTGCTGGTCACTTTTATTTCGTTGATATTGCGTCAATATTTTAAATGTTATATTTCATTTGCTATATTTTATGTCAAATGTTGCCTCAATATAAAGGCTGTCAATTGTCAGGCGCTCATTAATTATATATCAGCTCTCTGTGAACAAATACTTGATCATACGGTCTAAATCTGTGATGTGTTGTTTGATACGACCCGCTACCTTAATCACTTGTCTTTTCCATGCTGCCTGTATAGTGATCGGTAACCTGGGTAAGAAACACGTCTGGTCATGGTTTGTGTGAAAATGAAACACTGCGGTTACTGTAACGACAGCATCGGGGTTTTCTGCACCATTATCGAGAGTTTACGTGATTATTTTAGCATGCAAACACTATTTCGCTGAGCTTTAATTGCGTTATAGTAGTTAATATCAGTGAAGGTTTGTTTAACTCACGTGTAAGTGTTATTGTACGTTACGTATTGCGTTAATATATCCATCAGGATTATCTGATATATCAGAGGAAGTCCGAATATATCTTAGAATAACTTAATGAAAAATTGAATAACCAAATGTATCATGGAATGGCGAGCATAGGCATTGCAGCCTTGCTGCTCATGATCGACTTACCTTTGGTCATTCTCTCATAATAAGTGATAATTGATTTAGTAAACACGACACTATTTCATGCTGCTTTGCACGAGACTAAAGATTTCATCAGAGAGGAAGAGCCTGCTTGTTTTCACAGGTGCACATAGCATATACGTCGATGTGGTTTCACCTTCTTCTGTCTATGAAATCTTTCCCAAGCTTCTGTGATCCCTTCCATCCTCATCGCGGTCTCTGTGTGTTTGTTAGACTTCCGCCTCTCAACGGGTTCAGACTGTTGGGTCAGTGTAATGCATGGGGGTAATGTAGACAACGTCTTCTTGGTGTCACTCTCAGTGTTTAGTAGCAGGCTCCTATTTAACTCGGGGATTCTGGCTTAGATTTATCTGTATGGTTGTAGACTACAATGCGATCTGGATATCTTGTGTGCATGCATGGGGTATAACTGCTCTTTATGATGATGAGAATAGTATATATTGCTACAAGTGAGCAATAGTAAATGGGGGGGGGGTCATAGGATCTACCTGTAATCAGTGTTACTGTGTAGGGGTTGTGTTGCATATTGCCACAGGTGGGGTGGTATATCTACCTGTAATCAGTGTTACTGTGTAGGGCTAGTATTGTGTATTGCTACAGCCTACAGGTGGAGAGGTAGATCTACCTGTAATCAGTGTCATCAGCTTTGGATTGTTGCTACAGGTGAAGGTGGTGTCATCATCACACACCATCAGCCCAGCAACAAGCTGCAGGACAACCTGCCATTTGAACCAAGGCCTCAGAAGATAGAGGGCGCCGGTGCGACCGCCCTGCAGATGTCGAGCAACGATGAGCCGCAGTCCCTGCCAGGTGGCGCCACTCAGGGCGCGCAGCTTCCGACCGGGCCGCAGATGCCTACAGCACAGCCTCAGGTAGGTCGCTGTAGATCGACGTCAACGCACGCCACGCTGCCAGCAGGTGGCGCCCCTGAGAGCCCCGCAATTGTCGCAGGTGGTGCGAGTGTCATCTCACTCATTGTTGTTTCCGTGGTAACAGGAGGCAGAGGAGCCCGTCGTCGTCGGGACAACGAGTGCCTCGTGGAAGAAGTACAGACGGAAGAAGTACAAGAAGTTTGTGGAGCTGCGCAAGAAGAGAAGTGCAGGTACGTTTTTGTGCACACCTTGTTCCGCCTCGATTAATTAGTTGATTAATTTATTAAATTAGCTCAATTAATTGATTTGAATTTGTGTTCGCGACTTCTTGAAATGGCGTTGTATTTAGTTCGACATCACTCTCAGTGATTTTTACCATCGCTAGTGATATACCATGCTTAGTCTCCCAGAATGGGTTGCATGCATGTAAAAGCTTCGGAGTATGGATATATATATATATATATTATAGTCGTGGAATAATAAGCTAATGATGTCACAATTGTTTTCAGAATCCAACATGGCGTCCGCAGCGGTGACTATCGAGATCTTGGACTACTTCATCGTTGACGGCTCATACTGTCTGAACAACGAGTGCGGCCCCTACGGAAACTACAGCTACTACATCCCGATCAGTGGCTTCATGCCCCCCATCGATATCTTCCTCAGCATCAAGTGAGTAGAGTATATCTTATGCTGCTGAGGCCGCAAGAGGCGGTCAGTTGAAGTAGTTGTCAGTAGAAGGTGGGAAGTGGGACATTACGGGGGGCTGTCCACGTACGACGGTGGTTGTTGTCGTTGTTGTTCATGTTGTTGTTACTTTTGTTTGTTGTTGTTGTTGTTGTTGTTGTTGTTGTTGTTTCTGTTGTTATTGTCATTATTATTGTTGTTCTTGTTGCTAGTGGTGCTGTTGTTGTTGTTGTTGTTGTTTTGTTGTTGTTGTTGTTTTATTGTTGTTGTTGTATTTTTTTGGTGGAGCTACTATGAATTTGTTTTAGCATCCTTGGCACAGTTTACTAACCATGATGTCTGAGACCCTTGTTTTTTGTATAACTCATATCTAAGCCCATCGTTTACAGGAGGTATGTCTGGTGAGTCTGTTGATTACGTGACTAATATCTAATGAGTCCAATGTTTACACGAGAAATAACTAATGAGTGAGTGTTGTTTACAGCGTCACGACAGGATTCGACGTCCTGCTCTGCACTGAGCTCTCGATGACAGAGGGCGCCAGCTGCGCGGATACGGGCGTGCACGCGAGCATGCAGACGAACGCCATCTTGAACTCGGGCGCCGACGTGACGCAGCACAAGTGGCTGGTGGCGGCGCCACAGTACACGCGCAGCGTCTACACGTTCCGCGTCGCCGCCAGGAACACACCGGCCGCCCAGGTACGTCAGGTGGCGCCACCGTAGTCGGCGGCAGCGGCGGCGTAGTAACAGCAGCAAATGAATTTACACCTCGTTATCGTGTTTAAATGTGATTTCGCGTGTTGGTCAGTGTCGGGATGTTTGCCAATGATAAGTAGAAGCACGTGTTGTGTATACACATATACATACAATATATGTGCACGACATCTACAACAAATTGTAGAACATTTATGGATGAAACTCGAATAGAGTAAGAGAGAAAGCTGTGAAAAAAACTCGAAGAAAATTTAAACGCCATGAAGTAACAGTTCATGAGGAAGTCAACTCTATGGAATGAAAGTTTGCGCCGGGAATCTCTCTGCTAAAGGAGTGAAACTACTGAAAGATAAGCATAGCCTGCGTCGTAACACTATGCGCTGTTTGCAGTTTGACAAAACAATGCTTAGGGCACTTGCGCATCCCTTTTTTATACTCGGAAATTCGAGCCGATTCGCAAAACCATTGGGACGAGCGCGTGAATGAAGCTCGCGGCCGAGTCGGAAATCGAGACGCTTTGTGTGAATTTTCGGTCAGCGACGCTTATCGCCACGTTTGTTTTTACTGCAGCTGTGCTCGGATGCCTTCAGGAGCGAGGTCGGCTCTGCCTTCCTGCAGTACAACCTGCACTTCTACCGGGTCTGTTCGGACATCGATGCTCTGTCGTCGACGACGCCATCAAGCACGTGGCCCTAGTGGGGCGCAGACTCATGGCGCGGGGTCACCAGCGGACACAGCGCGGAGTTCTGAGTCGCGAGAAAACTGTTTGCTGTGGAGGTCGCGACTCTTCTGTCGAGTCACGTTGTCCGCGGCGACGAGGCGTGCGGCGGTGCGGCCGTGGTTGCGGATATCAGCTCCCGCCCCTGATCGCGGGCGTGTCGGAGCCCAGCGAGTAGTTTAGCGCGTAGGAGCGTCGACCGTGACGAAGATGCGACCTGCATAGAATGGTCGCCCTCGCCCGATCTCATTAGCTGGGTCCAAACGCAGCGCTGCGGGAAAAACGTCGGATCGCCGTTCCGTCCCCCCCGGATTGTTAACGCGGTTCGAGAAAAACAAGCGCGCGTCTTTATTTTCGAGTCCGTCATCGTGCGCTGGGCGGCGAGGGAAGGAAGCTGGTGTTAGCGTTGGTGGCTGCAGCTATAGATGGCGCTCGTGCAGGTGGCGTGATGACGCGGTCGCAGGGAGCGTTCGTTTGTGGATGGAATCGGAGGTGTAGCGCCGCAGTTATTGTTTCGTTTCTATCGCTTGTATATCTAGTGAATATTTTATATGTATATTTTGCTCTATTTAAAGCGCTTAGGTTTTAATTTTTATACTACGATCATTGTAATTCGACTGCGCGGTGCCGGTATCGCGAGCCGTTGCCGTGGCGACGCGCTCGGGGGAAAACAAGTGGGGAATGTACAGAGATGTTGACGAGGAGTGGTTTTAGTGTTCCTGCACAAAAAGATGAAACCTGAACTGATCATGCTAACTGATGATATATATTATATATATATAGATATATAGATATATATATATATATATATAAATAGATATAATGAGTGTTGTGTGTTTGCCAATATGCCATCTGTGTGGTTTGATACTTGATTCGGGTTGCGTGAACGCATGCGCGGGCTGGCACGTGAGTGAGGCAGTAGGGTGTGTGCAGCCAGCAGCGTGTGCTTCCAGCTTCTGCTACAAGTTCCTCTAGTTGGGGAAAGCACTTGCTCTATTTGCAGGCTCAGAGATGATCAGCCTATTGGTATGTATATATTGTATTTGATATTAGGAAGGTTAGTTACTAGACGGACTCCTGCTGGCTCATATGCAAAAGGAGATTTTGCTTTGATTCGTACTTATTGCCGTGCGTCTGATAAGCTATCGATTAGAGGGGGGGGGACTTTTAGTTACGTGATTGAATATATATATATATAGATATATACAGATATATATTATACGAGATGTGTTGTATATAGCAATTAAGCAGTGATATATAAGATTTATATTTTGTTTTCGCGTGTATTATGATAGTGATGAGTTTATGGGAGATTCTATTACTGGGAGGGGAAGAAGCGGCGGCATGAAGAGAATGATCTTATAGACAAGTGTTTGAAGTGACAGCCGCAAGAGGGCACTACATTCCAGAGGTGCGTCGGAATTGTGGCGCCACCTGGTGGCACGTCGATGTTGTGGCGCCATCCAGTGGCAGTCCGTCGCCGAGATCATTCCTGCGAGAACATGGAGGAGAGAAAGGAATTCGTCTGCGTTATGATACTGATCTCTGTGTCGGTGTGTGATCGTTATGCAGGGAAACGTCTCCTAGTGAGAGGGGTGAGGGGTGGGATGGCTACTTTTGTGGTCAAACGTCCACTGAGTTGGCAATATGGTCGACGCTACCGCAGGTTGAGTTGCATCGTCAGCGCCTCCTGGGTAAGCAGTCGTGAATGAGGGATCTTAGATGAATTATGGTAGAACGATGAATTATGAGTGGTTAACGCTGATGCCGATGTTTATGATGATGATGATGATGATATTGGTGATGCTGATGTTGATGCTGATGTTGTTGATGATGATGATGATGGTGTTCATTATAAGAGTAGTTTTATTCCTCTCGTTACATTATTAAGGGGTTAGTCTATCGCATGAAAAAATTATGAAATCGTACTATGCCTAGAATATACGTACATGCATGTGTATTATTATTATATATGTGTATATATGCTCGTATTATATACACATATATACCTATGTAATACGCAATAATGATGTTAATAGTATGTTTAAAGAATGTATGAGTTACTCCTGCCCCCGTACTTGGAACCCGTGTATTGATTTTTCTGCCGAATTCATTGCACGTCGTGCTAATGATGGATGACTAATATTATTGCATACTAAATAAACTTATCCGAACCACACGTTCGTCTTGCTTTCGTTGTGTTGATCTTCTTCACTAGACCACGCGCTGTGTGTGGGCGTTGCTGCAGTAGCTTGGCCTTGTTATGTGTCTTATCATTATCATCATCTATTATGTGAGTATAAAGTCCCAATCTGAGACAACATATAGAGGTAGATGGCATATGATTAATACATCGGTAAACAGTTGTATTATTTATTACCTATATCGAGAAATTATCATTCAAAGGTTACAGGCCGTACATACGCACACGTGCACATGCACGCACGCGCGCGCGTACACACAGGGCTGGCTGCAGTTACTGCCTTACCAACTAAAAATATGTAAGCCACGAGTATAAATTCTGTTAGATTAATTAATTGTAGTTTTTTTTACTACAACATTGATTTCCAATTCATCTACATTCTTTTGTAAAACTCACACATGCGTACACGCGCGTGCGCGCACACTAGAGTAAGCGGTTACCAACGCTGACTGCTGCTGTAACTGTCCACATGCACAACTTTGATTGCAGCGAGGTTCAAACATCGAACAATCGTCTATATATCGATATACCACCCTATACCCTCTCCACTCCTCACGAAGCAATTTGCTCGTTCACGTCCTCGACACCAGGTTGCGCCACGCGCGCCGTATCTCGTCCGCCGACAGGCTGTGCAGGTAGAGCGCCGACGCCGGGTTGCCGACGTAGCGCAGTGCCCAGCGTCGCTGCTCGTAGAAGCGCGGCGTGTGCGTCACCCGCACGCCGACACGCGCTGCCAGCATGCCTGTAACGTAGATGTCCTCCATGTTGAATATTGGTAGCGAGCGCGAGGCAGCGTACAGCAGCGGCGGCAGGTCAGCGCTCATCACGTACCCGGGTCCGTGCACGTACGGCGGGTACGTCGGCGGCGCGTAGGCCTCCCGCGCGACGTACCAGCGGTGGCCGCGCGTGCGCACGGGCCGCCCGCCCTCGTGCACGGACCCGAGCAGCAGACGCGCGCCGTCGCTCGCCGCCAGGTGGCGCAGCAGGCCGGGGACGTTGACGAACACGTCGCTGTCGACCTTCATGACGTAGCGCGCCGGCCGGCAGAGGGCGCTGGCGGCGTGCAGCGCCGCGAGAGACTTGCGCGTCAAGTTCCCGTAGGTGTCGGTGAAGTCGGCGCGTATGACGTCGCCGTGAACGCGCGCCTCGTCGTCCAGCAGCGACGCGACGTTGTCGTCTTGTGGGTCGCCGACAATGAACGCCATGGCGACGTCGTCGCGCGTGCGCGCCGCCGACCCCCAGGTGTCTCTGACGACGGCGCGAGCCGACGTGTCGTTGGCGGCGGAGAAGCCGAGCAGGAGAAGATAGGTGGCGTTACTGCAGCTCAGCTCGCACGGCCGGTACGTGTGCACGTCGTCGTTGACGAAAAACTTCACCGGATATCCGCTGCACGGCGTCTGTTCCCGCACCGTGGCTCCCCCTGTCTCGGTTTTCCCCTGCTTGCGTGTGCTGGCTTCCTGCTTTCGGTTACTAGCCACAGAGGGCGCTGTCATAGCGGAAACCACGTCGCGTTGACCGCTGCTGTGCAAGACGAGTCTGGAACTCCCCGCTCGCCCTAACCTCAGCAGCGAATTGTGACCAAAGATGCGCGCCGTCTGGTGGCCGAAGCCGATGCTGGCGACAACGACGGCGAAGATCGCAAAACAAGCGAGCAGCAGGAGCGGGCGCCTGTGTAGCCGCGTTGACAGCGTCATATCAACGGTTAAACGCACCCACGACGGAGCGATATACAACCACGACTGAGTGGTATATACAAACCCACAGCCCCCATGTACGTAACCACAGGCGTCTGGGAACAAGCACCGCGTACACGTACTAGAATGTACGTCTGTATGACGCAGGTACACATTTGAAGATCTGCACGTTGAACTTGTGTTGTGTTGTGTACGGTAAAGTATAACTGATATAACACGATCACCAAACATGCACAACGCGCCAATCTATGGGTACTGGCTGATATGAAGACTGTCGACTGATAAAACAACTTCGCAAACACTTTACTTGCTTATTTGAGTGCGCGTGATTAGAGAAGACTGTGTTCGCACCATCTGATCAAATACCCAGGATACGGCGGCGTGTGTAGTGTCTCGTATCTCAGCTGAGTAATGACGAGAGAGAGATGGGAGCAGCTCTCAGCTAAGCTAATAGGGTCTATGTCCCCCAGGGTACTGCCGGAACGTACCCTGGTAACTATTTGATAGGGTTAGGGATAGGGAGTAGGCGTAGGCGACTCCCTAGACTCGTTAGTGGAGTAGGCGAGGTACGGTCCGGCATATTACATAGTACCAGGGTACGTTCCGGTATATCGGACCGTACCCAGGGTACGTTCCGGCAATACCCTGGGGGACATAGACCCTCTCAGCCTCAGTTAACCTGCATGAGCGGGGTGCGCGCGGAAGAGAGTGCTGCAAGGATAGTTACATATGATGTTTTACGTTATGATTATTTATTTTAGGGTCTACTGACAGTTATTAGGTTTGTATTTTATTCGGCTAAAAAATATCTGAGTTATTCTCCAAATTACTGTGAGAAGACAGACGATGGGGCAAAACCGCCCTAATTTTGCAGATATTCTAATATGCTGCAAAGTGTAATGACGTAATACATTTTCAACGACAACACACCACTGATCTCTATAATATAATCATATAATTATAGAGATCAGTGCTAGTACCTTAGTATGGGGTAATGCTATCCCCCGGGCGTGGAGGGAGGTAACCGCAACGTGGCAGCACTAGTGTAAGGATTAGGGTTAGGGTCAGGGTTAGGATTAGGGTTAGGGTTAGGGATAGGGTTAGGGTTTTTTGCATCATGATATCTGTCCCCACACCATAGCTAGATTAATTTTTGTGGATCACAATACCTATATATAGCGCTCCGAGATATATATGTTTAGTGTTATGGGTAGCGTTGGAGGTGTTGCAGTTAGCGTTACCGGATGATTAATTATTTTGAAGTATACGTCAACTGTATAACGTGACCCTCCCTCCACGCCCGGGGGATAGCAACACCCCCTTAGTATGTACGTAAAGTATCTATGGTGTCAGGTGACACCGGGTGCTATAGTTATTTGTTCATTTTGCCGTTTATTTAATTGTTTGTCAAATGTTGCCATACATGATTCCAATGTTTATTATGTAACTATGTATTTCTTCCATGCCTCGAGTGTCCGTTCAAGAAATAAAATTAATTCAATCCAATGGCATAAAATGTCGCACCCAGCAGATAGGTGCGATATGATATGACTACTAGGCACTTAAAAAAAACCTAACCCTAACCCCCAAAAAAAAAATTTCATTAAATTAAAGTGCCTAGTAGTCATATCATATCGCACCTTTCTGCCTTCTGCTAAAATTTCATTGGACGGTGGCGCCCCGCAAATGAGCGGTACATTTTGGAACGAGTTTGGAGTGCTCATATACGGAGTATAAAGTGAGCATCCATAAATTGCTTAGTAACAGACATGTAAACAAAAAATCGGTCAAATTACTTTGGCATGTTATCAGTCCTGAGTGTATCAATAATGCTAATTATGCTAAAGTATATGTATCAGCGTTATGTACAAAGTGCCTGAGAGGTTTGAACCCGTCTTCTAACACTTCCTCTCCCTAACACCGTAAGTCTAACTAATGATGCAAGTCCACTTGAACAATGTTACAATTGTACGACATGATGATCCACGGCACTTAATTAATTGGACCGTTTCAATAATAAAATGATGGTTAATAAATACAACTTGTCAGTACTACTACTAGCCCTACCAGTACCAGTACCAGTAATAGTCTTAATGTTTGATTTGACCTAATAACTTCACTTCAACATCGTCCAATACACCGCTGCAACACATAGCTAGGGCGCACGCCCTTGTGCATGCACAAATACACAGTGATAGAGAGTGTAATACACTCTCTAAGATATAAGATATAACTATAAGATAATAATAAGATAAGATATAAGATAAGTGATAGAGAGTAATACACTCTCTATCACTGTGTATTACTATTAGTGCATGCACAAGGGCGTGCGCGCTGTGTTGCAGCGGTGTATTGGACGGTGTTGAAGTGAAGTTATTAGGTCAAATCAAACATTAAGACTATTACTGGTAGTGGTACTGGTACTGGTAGGGCTAGTAGTAGTACTGACAAGTTGTATTTATTAACCATCATTTTATTATTGAAACGGTCTAAGTGCCTGTGTGATGATCAATGCCTGGTAGTGGTACTGGTAGTGGTAGGCCTAGACCGAATAATTCTGTCCCATATAACCTTTTTTATATTTTGGTGAGGGTTATATTGGATATCCGAACCGTGGATAGCGATGTTGTTGTTTTGGCAGTCCGATTTTTTGAGAATCTCGGCCTATCAGAGCTCTGGGTAGGCCTCGGTAGCGGCAAACATTACCGTGACATTCCCGTCCAAGTCCATTCCGTGACAAGCCCTTCACCAAGCTTGGTCCTTCAAAATCCTTCGCACTACCCCTCTTCCACAGCCTAACCGGGTGCGATACAACATCACAGTTTTTTGGTTGTGGAAAGAAGACTGCCTGGGCAGCATGGGCCAGCTTACCAGAGTTAACCGACACATTGGTGACCCTCACGCGAAACCCTGATGTCTTCACTCTCAAGTCGATACATATGCAGCGGATCGAATGCCTAGTTGTTCTCATGTGCAGCAAGGGATGTGGTGCAGATGGTGTCAACGAGGCCCGGCATCGCCTATTCACCACTGGAAGCAGAATGTTGGAGAACCTCCCACCTACACAAGCAGCACTGTTCCAGCATGTCAAACGAGCGCTACTTCAGGCCAGCTTCTACTGGAATCAGTCTACCACAGTGCAGCAACGAATTCCCGACTTCAGTGAGTGGGGCTGGCAAAAAGATGGTACGGGTGCCTGGCAGCCGCTATGGACTACACTTCGTGACGCTTCAGAAGCATGCACCCTTCTGCTGCACTGCAGCTGCCTCAAGTCATGCACAGGAAGGAGCAAGTGCAATCGCGCCGGTGTCAGGTGCACGATGCTCTGCAAATGCGAGAGCGGATGTAGCAACAACGTTGACAGCAAAGACTAGTGTAACTTAATGCTAAAATGTATGGGCACAGGCCAGGGCTCGAATTAAGCGACGAGAAGGGCAAGGCCACACATTGTTTTTTAGGCGGCATGTGGAGAATATCGCCTTGTGAATTATTTCTCTAAAATATGAAAGGCACCAGAAGGCAAGCTCTCAAGTTTGAGAAGGGCCACCAAGGCACTTTTTGTAAATAAAGGGAAACTTATAATCAAAGTTAGTACATCAACATCGTTCTTGCGTTTAATGGTAGCAAGAACAATATGCCCCATGTACAGCTGTACACGCGTACATTTGACCCCTGTACCACCTCTGCTAGATGTAAGTACAGCTAACAAGAATTTTACTATGACCGCTATCAGGAGCAAATAATTATCCGCATGTGTTTTAGGTCCCTCCTCGCACTAGCGGGTTGTAGCCTCATCAATATTGCAACTTAACATGCCGCGACGCGCAGCAGATGTTCATGTTGATTCGACTAAAAAACAAAACTAGCGGCAGTAGATTAAGACACCGACGGCAATTACACAAAAGAGGCAGGCAGGCTGGAATGCGATCGCGGTCGGGTTGATGTTTCAGGGGCAGTACGCGCGATTGATTAGCGGGCACGACTGCAATTGCCGGTCGGTTGCCGTTCTGGTATAGATTCGAGCCCTTGGCACGGCCATACTATATCGAGAGTCACTGCATGTTGTGCCCAGTCAACTTACTGATTATATAACTGCGACACAAACCATGCGAGTAATTCATTCTAAAGCCAATGATTCGCAATCGGAAAGCCTACATTGCTGTTGTATTTGTTTCTTTATACACAACTGTGTAACGTGTAACTTGTATAACCTAAACATACATGTTAGTGAATAAATGGACTAATATGGAATAGACAAATCAAGTCAATTATAATTCTTGTGTGAGCCGATGATTCCACATTGTCTACCATGTTGAGCTTGTCGTAGAATAAAAATTGTACTAAGACATAAGTTTAGGTACTTAAATCATATTGTCTTTTAGTATTTCTTACAAATAATGGTATGTCAGTAGTTTCATGTGGGCATGCTTATAATTTGATAAGCTCAAATTATGTTTCCATCCCAACATTACATTCCCACCAAAGATCAGAAATGAGATTAGAAAATCTAAGATATACACATCACGGCATTTTGCCCGTATGGCAGCCAGTATTGGATTGAACATTGCTTAACAGCCCAAAGAAACCTCAATCATCGGATGTAAGAACATCATAATCATGATTTTTCTCGTGGACCCAAGAAACCTAATATATAAACATTTTATGCATATATGCCTTTCCCTTTTGCGACGAACTACCTTTGATCTTTAGATCTGATGACGTGGCAATGTTTGGATTTGGCCCAAGTTGCGCGGCCCAGGGGCGCCCTTCTTGAGCCCGCCAGCAGCAGATCGTGAATTAGCTATGCGGTATAAGCTACCTCTGGGACCATATATTGGTACTTGTAGAAGAATGCTGCACCAAACAACCCTTAGTATAGCCCTACAGCCATGACTATGCGGTAATGTATATTATGTTTTATAATATAACAGTATATTAATGCGTCGGTACGACTCTTGCGTTATTGAGTGTGGTGGTATTTGTTCTGTGTGTGGATGTTTTCCTTAGAAATGACCATGATAGCTGAAACATAGCAAATCCTTTATTTACGTTTTCAATCTGGTTCATCGTCGTGTCTTGCCAGATATATACACGGCGTATCTAGAGTCCACAGGTGAGTGCTTAGTTAATTGGGAAATGACCAGAGGCCGAAAACATCGCCGCAAAGTTGTTTATTTCGCCATTTTACAATCTTTGTACGTTCTTCCCAATAAAACAGCGTCTCTAAATCCAACAGTGGTCGGTTAGGCTCAGTCTGAGGTTACTGCACCTACAATAATGAGGATAGACTGCTGGCTTAAAAATGGCATGACACTTTGGCCTAATTTGTTACCAACGTGCGGGCGCACACACGCACTTACGCACACGCTTAGGCCGTCGTTTGGGATTGCCGCTTTATTGCGACTGGCGAGTCATACCTGCCGAAAAAATATCCGTAGGGTAAAATAATTGATTTTATGGGATGCACCATCGCCAATGTTTAATACTGTGTTTATTCTACGTTATATACAGTACGCATTAGGATCAAGGTTCTGCCGTGACTGACTGCCTGCCTGTCTGTCTGTCTTGCTAAACTTGTCCAGTAGCTTATCGTGTCGCTCCGGCTTCCTTTCAAGGAGGAGAGCTCCCCACTTTCTCTCCCTCTCTCACTGCCCTCTCTTCTATCTGTTCTTATCTCTTTCATATTTATAAATAGAATAAAGTTATATATACTAGCTGGGCTACGCGGATGCGCCCGGGAGTTTTTGGGGGTTACTGCTTTTCTGCTACTTTCTGCTTGTTATGGCTGCTAATTTTGGCTTGCGTTTCGGCATTCATGCGATGCGGCTGATTTTGAGCGATTAGTGAGACGACTCGTTGCTGTTCTAGGATTCGTGTCGTGACTTTTCTGCCGTGCAGTGTATAGGCGAGTGCGCTAGGATTGCTCGTTTATTGTTAACTTTTCTGGCTGAGCGCTAGTATTTTTTTGCGGAGCGCAAAATATGGCGCCAAATCTATTGACAACCCAGGTTTAAAAACCCTACCCTAACCCTACCAACTTCACGGACTATGGGGTTGTAAACGCTGACTTTGACCGAAATCTGTTCGTTTGTTTTTTTTTGCACGTATTTGTCGCGTTTTTTCTGTGCAATTGTTTTTGGCTTAAATATGGTCGGTCGCCCTCCAATCATTGCCTGATTGAGGAAAGTATTCCTCACGGGGCTCTTCTGGTTCAGAAGAAGAAGCGGATAGATCCGGGCGATTTATTGTTAGGAGCATTAAATACGAAAAACTCGAAATACGAAGTACTGAGTGCCTGCGAAAAGAAAATAAATGTCTCAACTTGCTGCTTATTTTTTTCGCAGGCACTCAGGTACTTCGTATTTTCGAGTTTTTCGTTTTGTTTTATTTTTTATTTTGTGTATTTTTTTTTTTTGACCTTGTCTTTGGTGCGTCGGCGATGGCTGATTAAGAGATTTTGAGGTGTAGGGAGGTGTAGCTCTTACGGGGGGGGGAGAAGATAGACAGAAGGACAGACACAAAAACAGGCTCGCCCTTTATGTAAGAGATATCTGTGTGTCTTCCCACTGCTATCTATCTCCCCTCCCAATCTCCCTCTCTTTCTTTCCGTCTCGCTACTCTCTCTCTCTCTTTCCCTCTCGCTACTCTCTCTCTGTCTCTCCCTCTCACTGCTCTCTCTATCTCCCTCTCACTGCTCTCTCTATCTCCCTCTCACTGCTCTCTCTATCTCTGGCTCTGTCTGTCTGCCTGTCTATCATTTACTCTCATTTCTCTCTATTACTCTATTTACTCTATTTCTCTCTATTACTCTCTATATTTCTTATATACTCCACATTTCTCTTCTATCAATCTACCTGTGCGTACGTGCGTGCGTACGTGCGTGTGTGCGTATGTGAGCGTGTGCTCATTCATAGGCACGTGCGTGCGTGCGTGCGTGCATGTCAATAAGGGTGGGGACGTACGTACGTGTGAGTGATGGTATGCGCGTGTCTTCCTCCAGTCTATACTTTCTGCAAGCACCAGCGCTCGGATGTTTCTTTATGTTGACTGAGAGATCATACCTGTCAAAAATCAGCCTGCAGTAAACAATCGCACATTTGGTTTACGATTACAATCTTTAATTAGTGTGCGTACTACTTCATATTATACAGGATACAACATCTGTTTAGAACTGCATTAATCTTATCTGGAAAATATATACGAAATGGAGCATCCTAAATATAATTTCCTCTAGTCTACATATTCTGCAACAACCAGTGACCGGGTGTTTCTTCATGTTGACTAATACTAGATCATACTTGTTTGAGAATAATATGTACGATAAACAATCTTATATTTGGTTTATGATAACAATCTTTAATTACTGCACGTACTTGTTTATATACACGGTTCACTTAGGATCTATATCCATTTAGAGCTGCATTAATCTGAATCTGGGGGGAAAAATGAAATGGAGACACGGTAGCTGTGTATCTGTGTATGTGTATCCATGTTTATGTTTGTGTATTGTACGTGTGAATCAATGCATCTGATGAGAACTGACCACTATTAAATCCTCCATAGGATCCTATACTTGAGAATTGAATTTCAGGAGCTGAAAAATAGTATTTCGACCGTTTTCGGCCAAGTGGCAATATCAAAGCTAGGTAGCCATGTACTTCAGCTGTGCACCATGAGAGTTATGACATATGTTGTCCAGCGTTTTAAAAATTATCGCGAATTTACTAACCGACGCCACATTTGTGCCTGAAAAACAGTCGCGCAGTCGAATAGGGGTCATACATTGAAAGAATTCGTTTTAAATTACCAGTAACCATCCACCCATCTCTATGTACATGTCATTTCCACACACGATAGCCAACCTAAATAATGCAACCACAAAACATCGCGTCAGCTTTAGTGCCCGAGCTGCGGGCCCTCCGATTGGTCGGTCGTCGACGCGTCACATCCTCTAACCTAACAGGATAATGAACCGGTAGTGATTTAATAGTGGTCACGTGTCTGTATAGAAACATTTTTCTGGGAATCTGTCAAATTCAATAACATATACGTTCCGACAAACAGCTGCACACGGGCGTGAAATTTTGGGTTAATTGGCTGCTCGGTTTTTGAGTTACGGCAATTTCTCCGACCCCACCCACCCGGCTATGAGGCGAATCCAGTGCCCGTCTTCTCTGCGGAACGCCAAGTCGGTGCATAGTTCGAACAGTCGCTGGAGCGAAATAGAATATTTTACATTAAATGATATTGCACGGACCTTTCCGAAATTTAATATTCTACAGGATAAGGAAAGAAATTTGCATATATTTACATGTTAGACAATAGATCTTATCAATTTAGAACGTCACGTGATTATGCCTGAAAAACGGTCTAAATTTTGCACTAAAATGTCAATTTCTCTAAGACTAAAAGAGCTTTTTTGTCAAATTTTTTCCCAAACGAACTGCATGTCTCATTGTGCTATATGTCAAAGTTTGACACCTGGAGGCGTTTGGTTACTGTTTTATAGCCATAAAGGTGGCGGCTGATGCCAGCTTGGAAACGGCCACCAGGTGGCGTTATCAGACAGCAGTTCCACAGTAGTGCCTTTGCTATGTTGTGATTTGCTGACATTTGCAACGGGGCTAGTTGTTGATTTTTCACATAACACGAGAATAGGTATTTATGCTAGATGTGCACAGGAATCAGTGCAAAAAGCTCCATTAATTTGAAAGAATCTGCCGTTTCCAGCTGCTGTCATCATGCTGGCGCGTTCCGTTTCTTAAGGCATGATCTCACGACATTCCTAATTATTGAGACCTCTTGTCTCCATGTGCTTGTATGTTGTTTGTTAGTTTGTTACTGCCGTTTCTAAGAAATAAACTAAACATTCTATTGTATCCTAGCTGCGCATTATTGTGTGGGAAACAATAGGAGCAATATTGGCATATGGAATAAATCTGTCAGTCTCAAACTAGTCATAGCTCGAGACAGGCTGTTACGCATGATAGGCCGATCAGACAAATCAAAGCAAACGCAATTCAAGCCAGGACGCATCCCACACAACAAGGGCACCAAGAAGCAGCCAGCAGCCAGCGAAGCAGCTCATGCTGGCTCGTCTTCTTCCGGCGAATATCCCGATTCAGCCGTGGACCCAACGGCTGAATCGAGATCTTTACCGGAAGGTTGTGAGAACGCGTACTACCGATGGCACTCTTTCTGTTTCAGATGCTGATGGTAGAGATGGAGGCGCCGAGATCCTGCGCCCGAAGCCAGCTAGCCGCTGCCTCCGCAGATCCTTTCGCCATGCAGCAGCGGTCCGACCGAGATGAGATGCGACTGGTGCATCTCACGAAAGTCGAGAACCTGTGGAATTCAGCAATCCGCGAACATCGGGTAAGTGAAATTCGTGAATTTCATTTTGTTGTTGACGACATAATTTTCAAATGAACTGTATATTCTGTAAAGGCATGCGTTTGCACTACTTGCAATCAAAAACTTATCCACTGTCATTGTTTATAACATGCCAGACGGAAGAGTACGCATCCCATTGCCCGGAGCCAGACCTGAAGATGTGCGACGAAGAGCAGAGAGGCCTCTGCTGGAAGATGAGACTAAGATGCCGAAACTGTGACTACGCCTCCACGAAATGCAAGCTCTACGACGACATCCCAAGTTCGGGACGAGGGGCGAAGGCAGCAGCCCCCAATCGAGGAGTTCACCTGGGCTTGCAGGACACGACCATTGGACCGACCAAGCTGAGGCTCCTGGTGGCATCGACAAACATGCCACCGCCGTCACGGAGCGGCCTGCAAAAAAACGCAGCCACGGTCAGCGCCGAGACCGTGCAGCTAACCGAAACCGACATGTCAGATTTGAGGAAGGCGCTAAAGACCATCAACGACCTGAGAGGCCTCGACAAAGAATCGCCAATAAACATTCAGATGGACGTTCGATACAACGCCATCTCGATTGCAAGCCGGCACAAGATGGGGCAGTCGGCATTGCAGGCAATCGGCTTGGCAATCGAGGATCACACAGACGACCATAAGATCATCGGAATGTATATATGCAAAATAAGCTCTGCGCCCTAGGAGCATGGCTCAGAAAGCGAGGATATTCGGTAACGTGTCCCGGGCACGTCGCCTGCACCGCGAACGTCCCTAAGCATGCGCCACTCTCGGAAAGAACTCGGGCTGGAGATGGGATGCCAATTTGCAACGGAGAGACTCCTCATCAAACATGCGACAACCGACGGCGACGGAAGAGGAAGCGCAGGCATCGACGAAGGTATGAAGACCATGGATCCATTGTAGAACGTCACCCGCCAATGGCCGACACCATTCATCTCGGCCAGTCCCAATTCAAAGCTGGCATGAAAGCGAAATTCAGCAGGGCGATGCTCGGGTGGGACAGATCGGCAGACGAACGACAGATAGTACAACGACTAATTAGCTCAGATATCAAGGCCAGATGTCACCTTATAGTAAACGAACTGTTCAAGATCAGCTGTGGCAATACGGACTTAATAGTGAAGAAGCTGCCTCACCTCGTGCAATGCACAGTCGACTGCTATTCCGGCGATCATCGAAAGTGTCGGCGCCACTCCCTGGTCTGCTCAGGTGGTAGGTACAGGAACTGGCTGTCTACACGCTCCTACTACCTGAGTAGCCTCAAGATCAAGGAATTTACCATGACCCACGAGGACAAGATTCTGCTGCAAAACATCCTGCAAATGAAACTAAGCGTTGCTGGCATAGAAAAAATGAAACTCAACACCAACACGATCGGCCGCATGCATTCGGCGGTCCACCGGCTGAACAACGGCTTAGAGATGTCCGCCCACCTGAAAAATGATAACATCGTTAAAGTCCCACTCGGGAAGAGGCCATTGTTGGCGCTGCGACAGATGTCGATCGCCGCAACGTAATCAATGCGGCGCCGAAGAAAGCAGAGAGAAGCCGCCAGGCGCAAACGCATGCTCGCCGACGTGCGTGACCACATCAAGTATAAGCGATCTCAAAATTCCTCCGAATACATTAAGGATCAACTCGACACTGCCTATGCTGACCACAGCTACACAACGTAATTATTAGAAGGAAAAAGTTTAGTAGGGTGTTAATAAATTTCATGGGGTAACTAGCCTGTGCTGTGGAGAGGTGGGGTCATCCCGGGTCAGTCGGTCGGTCCAGCCTAGGGTTTCCCCACCTGAGTGCGACGCATCATATGCTAGTAGCCTACTGCAAGTATAATGCATGCTTCGATTGACGAATCGTTAACGAAAGTAAACACATCGGTCTGTCGGCATGCCCGATGCAGCTCATGAGTCTCTTGCATTCCCACCGTTCAAAATTCTGCTGCGCAGTTTCTAAAATTATATGCCGATGCCTAATGCAATTTTTGTTGTGGCATAAATGTGAGCACTGTTTTCCTTTGGCAGGCCATACACCAAAATGGAGCCTGTACGCCAGTCTGTGTACTTTAACTGTTAGCCATTGCTGTTCTTGATTTTTTACACATAACACCCCATAGCCGGTTTGTGTGCGTGTTCCTGTAAATAAAATGCACTCGTTATTTTCAACAGAAATCGCCGACTTATTCATTAGTTGTCCAAAGGCATTTTCTTCCCATGTCATGATAAATTTCGATTGAAAATCGCTATCTGTGTCGTCTAAATAGCAGCAAGGAGCTACATATAACTCTGTTATATTTAGCTCCTTGAATAGCAGTAGGCATGAAGAGACAAATGAACAGTAACAGGCCCGCACCAAAAAAAGAGAACAAAATTGAAGAAAAAAAAGAAGCGTGTCAGAGAACAGACCACTATTAAATCCTCCGTAGGATCCTATAATTAAGAATTGAATTTCAGGAGCTGAAAAATAGTATTTCGACCGTTTTCGGCCGAGTGGCAATATTAAAGCTAGGTAGCCATGTACTTCGATCAGCTGTGCACCGTGAGAGTTATGATCATATGTTGTCCAGCGTTTTAAAAAATTATCGTGAATTTACTAACCGACACCACATTTGTGCCTGAAAAACAGTCGCGCAGTCGAATAGGGGCCATACATTGAAAGAATTTGTTTTAAATTACCAGTAACCATCCACCCATCTCCATGTACATGTCATTGCCACATACGATCATAGAAATCGCAGCCCAATAACCTAGAAGGACAATCACGTGACTTTTGGCTTGCAACCAATAAAATTTCAGACCGCCATATTGCCTGGGTGACCTATCCCACGTGACCTGTCCTGTCACACTGTGTACACGACTACACAACAACGTGTTTACGTTTATAATTATGGATGCATTGTGAGTACATCAGATTATATTGTGAGAGAAGTAAATAGGAACAAAGTTTCTTAATGCAAATCGCCCAATTACGGTCATATATTTTAATGTTTTCGCACCCATGAAAAGTGATCTTTGCTGCCTTTGACTCCTTAGATCTACTAACGTTACAGTTGTATGCACTACAATACACTGGCATGATATTAAAATATCGGAACCAATTTCAACACAAATGCACTGTGTTGTGTATATCTTATGCTGTGACTAGGCAGACGGCACCCAGCCAATATGGCTGCCAAAAGTTCGAGCGAAAGTCACGTGATTGCCCTTCTAGGTTATTGGGCTGCGATTTCTATCGATTTCGATTTCGATAGCCAGCCTAAATAATGCAACCACAACACATCGCGTCAACTTTACTGCCCGAGCTGCGGGCCTTCCGATTGGTCGGCCGACGACGCGTCACATCCTCTAACCTAACCGGTAGCAAACCGGTAATGAACCGGTAGTGATTTAATAGTGGTCACGTGTCTGATATAGCTGTGGCTGTATCTATCTGTCTGCGTGTCCGCCTGTACGTCTGTCTGCCTGCCTACCTGCCTGCTTGCCTGTCTGGCTGTCCCTCCTTTCCCCGTTTCTCTCCCTGTCACTCTCTTCCTCTCGCTGCATGCGCTTTCTCTGTCTTTCTCTCTCTTCCTCTCTCCCCTCCCAATTTCCCCCTCTCTCTTTCCCTATCGCTACTCTCTCTCTCTCTTTCTCCCTCTTACTGCTCTCTCTCTCTCTTTCTCTGGCTCTGTCAGTCTGCTGTCTATCATTTACTCTCCTTTTCGTCTATCAATCTACCTGTGCGTACGTGCGTGCGTGCGCGTGTGCGTGTGTGCGTATGTGAGCATGTGCTCATTCATAGGCACGTGCGTGCGTGCGTGCGTGCGTGCATGTCAATAAGGGTGGGGACGTACGTACGTGTGAGTGATGGTATGCGCGTATCTTCCTCCAGTCTATACATTCTGCAAGCACCAGTGCTCGGATGTTTCTTTATGTTGACTGAGAGATCAGACCTGTCAAAAATCCGCCTGCAGTAAACAATCGCATATTTGGTTTACGATTACAATCTGTAATTAGTGTGCGAACTACTTCATGTAACAGGATGCACTTACGATCAACATCTATTTAGAACTGCATTAATCTTATCCAGAAAATATATACGTAATGGATCATCCTAAATATATCTTCCTCTAGTCTACATATTCTGCAACAACCAGTGACCGGGTGTTTCTTCATGTTGACTAATAGATTGTTTGAAAATAATATGTACGATAAACAATCTTATATTTGGTTTACGATTACAATCTTTAATTACTGCGCGTACTTCTTTATATACACGGTGCACTTAGGAACTACTCTCTCTCTCTCTCTCTCTCTCTCTCTCTCTCTCTCTCTCTCTCTCTCTCTCTCGCTCGCTTCTCTCTCTCTCTCCCTTCTCTCTCTCTCTCTCTCTTCTCTCTCTCTCTCTTCTTTCTCTCTCTCTCTCTCTCTTCTCCTCTCTCTCTCTCTTTCTCTTCTCTCTCTCACTCTCTCACACACTCTCGCTCTTGCTCTCGCATTCCTCCTCTCCCAAGTCCCTGCGTGAGGGATCGAGTGTGTACGTGTGTGTATGCGAGCATATGAGTGCTTATGTGTCAGTACGTGCGTGCGTGCATGCATGCGCGCGTGCGAATGAGGGTGGCGACGTACGTTCGCATGCGAGTGCTTATGCGTGCATGTCTTTCTCAAGTCATACCTGTTGAAAAAAATGTTTGCAGTAAACAATCTTATATTTGGTTTACGATTACAATGATTAAAAACACTTTGCGTACTAAGTACTTCATATGCAGGGTTCTCTTAGAATCAAAATCGATTTAGAACTGCATTAATCTTAACCTAGAGAATATATATAAAGTGGAGAGTAGGTACAAAATGGAGACACGGCATGTGTGTCTGTGTATTATCAATACAATAGTGCGAAATTTTTGCACCAAGTGCGGTGCAACGTCACAACACGATAAGACAATGGCAATGTAAAAAAACAATGTATAACCAAAGGCGCTGCCCTCGCAATCTAAACGCAGACTAAATGTTATACATTGTTTTACATTGTTTCTTGCTCTTGAGTTAAAAAATGTGTTATAAACAAGTGCACACAGCTAATGCCACAAAGCATATTTATATTATATATATATATATATTATATAATTATATATATATATATAATATATTATATTACTTATATATGATATACTATAATATTAATATTAGTATATATCATATATTATATGATAATATCAGGAGTGTATCATATCTGATTGATAATCAATATCATATTGTATACACTGCCTGAAATATAATTTATGCATATAAGATCAGACAAGATACCGCTCGCAAGAAAAGTCGCCCGCTTTGTCAGAAACTCCTCATGTCACAGTTAAGGTTTTCTGGTGTGGTGTGTGTGTTGTGTTGTGTGTGTCTTTGTGTGTGTGTGTGATGTGTGTTGTGTGTGTGTGGTGCTGTGTCGTGTGCGTGTGCGATGTGCGTGTGCCGTGGTGTGCGTGCGTGGCGTGTAGTGTTATGTGTTGTGTCTATGTGTGCGCGGTGTGTGTATGCGTGTGTGTGCGTGTCTGTGTGTGTGTGTGTGTGTTTATGCGCGCGCGCCGCGATGTGTGCTGTGTGCATGTGTGTGCTGTGCTGTGTGTGCCTGTGCGTGTGCTTGTGTGTGTGCGAAGCGTTTGTGTGCTGTGTGTGCGTGGTGTATGTGTTATGTGTATGTGTGCTGTGTGTGTGACTGTGTGTGTGCGTGCGTGGCGTGCGTTGCGTGCGTGGTGCGGTGCGTGTGTGTTGTGGTGTGTGTGTGTGTGATTGTGTGTGTGTGTGCTGTGTGTGTGTGTGTGTGTCACGCGGTTATAACACTTCTTCAGTCACGGCCAGTTACTCGTCACTGCTAGGCTGCTAGCTGCGTGGGAAGTGCCCTGCAGCTAAATATTTTAGCTGTATGCGCCATGCAATGACGTACACAACTATAAACGTTCCATCATGAACAATGCATGTGGTCTACTCTACACAGAAGTTCTGACCACCTAACGGGCATGGACCACTGATCTCTATAATATAATCTATATAATATAATCTATAATAATATGATTATATTCTAGAGATCAGTGGCATGGACTAGTAATAATTAAGTATCGGAAAAAACATAGAGTGTGTTGTTTGCCACCAGATGTCACCGCTTGTCACGCTTACGCTGATGTCTAGTCGGCCCTAACCACTCTCTCTTCACACCACACACACACACACACACAACACACACACACACACACACACACACACACACCACACATCACACACATATATATATATATCTATAATATATATACTATAATGTCGAAAGGACCGATATATATATCGATTATAATGTTAATACTTATTAAATAGTCTTCGTTACTTACTCAGGGTGGAATAAAATGTTCAGGAAGTGATTGCTATTCTCGCCGCGCGGCTAACACTTCGCGATAAGATTATATACAGGCTTTTATGCGAAAAACTGATCATTGTGCATATAGGAGTAACATGTTAGGCCGGATTGCTCATTAAATTGATGTCAATAAACAAGGATTAAATGTTATATTTTTCTGCATAGCGTATCATCGAATTCTCATCCACTGTCAGTTGTATAATGGTATCCACCTAATTTACATATACAACAAAAACTAAACATAAGTAAATACAAATTTCGTCAGCTGCAAAACCAACCTCAGTACATCCCTCCGGTCAACTTTAGCGCTGAACGAAAATTACGCGGCCCGAAATTGGCATGCTCGATAAGCTGCACTCCATTATATTCTTAGATGACTATTAGTCAGTGCTATAAATTATACGTCCATTATATGTGGACCCCAAAGTCTATATATGACTATAACCTCCTGTACTTATGATTACACATATAGCACACTATTTCGAAAGTATGACAGCCATAAAAGTTAGCCCATTAGGTTGAGGACGAGTAGAGGGCTCTAAAACCACATGCTGTGAATATTTGCATGTACAACTAAAACCCTCTTACCCTTGCTACTCCCTTAGGTGACGTCAAATAGCACCGCGCTACAAGAGTTAAGTGTGTCTACGTGGCTGCTGTGCCCCAGCTGGCCAATAACTAGATACGTCATAAACTTAGAGCCACTCGGCGAGAGCACAGCACCTCCGCCAAGCAGCTGACGATTAGTACTAGTCATCTCTCTCATGTGATTGAAGAGAGCTCTAGTTCTTCCCTACTCCAATTAGCTCCATTAATAATCACTTAAAATTAGCGCCACTCCTCACACCTATATTAGTGGGCAGCGTGCCTCTAGTATTAGGGTGAGTATTTAATGATGCATTCGGAAATGACATTTATATCTTCACTTGATGTGTCTGCCTCCTATCCATTAGTGACCACTGGTTGTGTGTAACAGGTCTTTACAGACCATCAGCGCGCATGACCTCCCTAGTGCGAGATAAGCTGAACTGATGCGGCAGTGAATGCCCGTAGCTATAGACAGTAAATATTGGCCCACAGGATAGGAACATGGCGTCCAATATAACCATGTGCTAGCCCTAACCCGTAACCCTACATTCTAACCCTACCCTACGCTAATCAGTAACCCTAACCCTAACCCTAACCATAACCCTAACCTATTATATTGATATAATATTATATTTATATAGATGTAAATGACATTGGTTTTATTGGGACCCATGTTCTCTATCCTTGAACTAAAATGGCCTTATTGAGACGCAACAATGCCAACATTATCTATTGCTGTTATCTGCAGTGTTGATTTATCGATTTGATTAACTTTGTCAGTGTCACTGTGTGCATGCCTTCGAAATATAGTCCCTTGGATTTTAAACGCCAGTCATTACGAGGTTACAAGATTACGTACCATCATGGACTCGTCATTCATACTTCAATAAGTGGCTGGATCTCGTAGATTCAATGATTAGTCTTCAAAGTCCAAGAGACTATATCGAAGACAACAAGAGACAAAGCTGATCAATTAGTTTTAATTTCGTTTTAATTCTATTTGAAGGTGCTGGCGAGAATTTGGAGAATACCATGACAGCATTTGAACAGTGAGTAGTGGCCATGTAGCATTGATATAAACCGACCAGGCTCTCCGACTGTTACACGTCGTAGGAACGCCAACGTAGCCAACGTAGCCCTCGCTAACGTAGTGTTAAGCGAGAAGGGAACTTGTGGCTAGCATTGATATATAGACAGTGGATGTAGGAGTTGGTTGTGCAATTTCTCGAATCTCCTGGACCCATTCTCTTCTAATCCTCCAGTATTTACAATGTTGTATGATGTGCCAGGTGACACCTAATAGTTACACAAAGGTTTTTTATATTTTGATACAAGAAAACGATGAGGATGGATGAGTCTTTAGAAATGCAGTGTGGTATCTTTCAAATTGTGGGAACCCAGTGTAAATATGATCCAAGTGACAGAGTGAAAATCTAGAAAGAGATTTTCACAAGTTCTCGAGATTGCAGCGATCCATTTCTTTATGGGGCTGCAATGATCTGCTGTTCAATCTATGCAGGATTGACAGGTTTTACTGTAGTGTAGTGCCACTTTTATGATGGTACTGTATGTCGTATGTCCGCGTAGCTAAAAGCATACAAAAAGAGATTTTTCAAAGGAGAGAAGATATCTCTATAGCATTAAATGCAATTTTTATCTAGTAAAACACCCACCATTGCATAATATGCTCTCCTGTTATATTTCTGCACACTTCCTCATTTCGCTGCAGACTAGCCCATTTTGTTATAGACTTTCAATTAGTGGGCAGAATCAAAATAAAATTTCTTCTCCGTTGTGCAGTTGCACTGATGGCAGGTGCTATATATAGTCGCCCTCATTAATTGCTGTGGTGCCTGCAGAAAATTGGAAGGAGTTCATGGTAAGAAAGTGGCCATGTTGCTCTCAGGTGGTTGGTGTGCCTTTGTGACTTTAAAATAAATCGCACGTAATCTATGTACTGCCCTTTTCCCCCGCATAAGCGCTGTTGTCAGAGTGACCTCGATAATCATTCTTTGAAGGAAATGTTTGCCATTGTGCCTCTCCAGCTTGTCATGATGCTGCCCAGAAATTCCTGATTAAATTAAAGGCAACACTTAATTTGACCCCACCCCACCCCACCCCGGTGTTAATTTCCCCATCTGTTCATTGCAGTGCTGTCAGCGTCGGCACGGACATGTTAGAGATCGACTGCCAGAGGACGGCAGATGGACACGTCGTCGTTGCCCACGACGACGACCTCCGACGACTCACGGGTCATGACGCGCGCATATCGGAGACACGTCTCAGCGACCTGCCGCCAATCAGACGTCAGCTGCCTGTCGAATTTATGTCGTGTGAGTAACCATGGTAACCTGGTAACTCCCAGCTGCGTGACTTCGTATGGGTAACCATGGTAATGTGGCAGTTATCAGCTGCTTGTCCCCATGCAAGTAACCATGGTAGTGTAGCAACTTTCAGCTCCCAGAGAAATTCATTCTACATGAGTAGCCATGGTAACGCGAAACTTTCAGCTTCCAATCGAATTCAATCTATGTGACTACCAGTGATAGCTTAGCAACTTGATGCTTTCATACTGTTTGAGTAAACATGGAAACATGGAGAGTGAGGACTGAAGCATTTCACTATTGCGGGAGGAGTTTGAGACATTCTGTGATCTAGAGTTACCATGGTAACACGATGTTTGTCGTCTGTAGTTAAGCACACAGAAGGAGACGACTGCCGCATCCTTCCACTGGGGGAGGAGTTTGAGAGATTCTGTGATCTGGAGTTACCATGGTAACACGATGTTTGTCGTCTGTAGTTAAGCACACAGAAGGAGACGACTGCCACATTCCTCCGCTGAGGGAGGAGTTTAAGAGATTCTGTGATCTGGAGTTACCGTGGTAACACGATGTTTGTTGTCTGTAGTTAAGCACACAGAAGGAGACGACTGCCGCATCCCTCTGCTGAGGGAGGTGTTTGAGAGATTCCGCAATCTACCGATGAACATAGACATCAAGGTGGAGGATGAGAGACTCATCAGAGACGTACGTAGCAGGGGAGGGGGCATCGATCAGGGCCAGGGAGGAGGTAGGGGTGGGGAAGGTGACTGGCAGCATGTGTGTGTGCGTGTGCGTGTGGTGTGTGTGTGTGTGTGTGCGTGTGTGTGAGTGTGTGCGTGTGCGCGTGCGTGTGTGTGTATATTAATCATGGACTGCATGGCAAGAAAGGGGAGGGAATGATGTGTCAGCTAGACTGCATGTTATTAGAGTCGCAGTCTGTGGGGAAGAGCTAGAACTCATACAAAAACTAGACAGAGGGCACTCACGGAGTTCATACCTCCGCCAGCGACATAAGCCATACGCCCCATGTAACATGTATGTGTTACGAGCTGGCTCGCTGCTGGCTGCTGCTGACTGACTGGCCTGCTGCTAACTCGACGCGCTAATATCGATCGCGCGAACAGACTAACACACGAACGGACTAACACACGAACACACTACACGAGAGCGATCACATAACCTCCTCCACTCCGTGGGCGGAGGTAATCAGTGCTTTAGTGTCATGCAGTGCGGAGGGAGTTCAGGGTATCTGAGTGAGTGAAGTGCTCGGTTTATATTGTAGGTTTCGCAGCTGGTGCGTGAGTTCCAGCGAGAGCACATCACGGTGTGGGGCAACGCCAAGCACACGACAATACAGAAATGTCACAGAGAGGTGAGGGCATTGGTCGGTGTGCACGCCTTTGTGCCACGACTACTGTAACCAAGTGGTGCCATCTAGCATCTAGTGCATCGATGTTGGCAGCCATGCTGTTACCGCTGTGTGGTGCCTGTCGATTATTATATATATATATATAATATATATATGCTGTTCAACATAGGCCAGCAGTGAATGTAATAACTATCTCATCTAACGTGGAGACAATGGTGGGTAGCCAGTACCCTCTATCATCTAGCATGTTAGCAATGGTGGGTAGCCAGTACCCTCTATCATCTAGCATGTTAGCAATGGCAGATGTCCAGTATCGCAGTATTTTATGCATTCTAGGTCGTGGATTTTTCATTGTTGCATTTCAGAATCCGAATATTCCGATTCTGTTTTCGTTTCGGCGAGTCGTCATCATAACTTTTTCTTTCTACATCGGGTTGCTGCCATTCTTGCCAATGAAGGAACAGTTTCTCGAGATATTCTTACCTAGTATTTTTTTAAAGTAAGTACCTATCTCTTACTTTGCTGTTGGACAGATATAACGTAATATGCTGAGAGATTACTGTTGTCTATATCATAATCTATATCTTTATGTAAAAAGTAACAAAAGGTGTAAACAAAAAGTAAAGAGCAAGATCAAGTGAAATAAAGAGAAACTATGGATTTATGAATGTTTATGGTTTTTACATGCTAGATTCTAATTATGGCACAAAATGGTACATTTATAAAATGTTATTTTCTTCCTAGAAAAGATAAAGAATTTTTTGCTATGAACAAGAAATGGAGGCTTTTGCTTTGGTTTGTTGACAAGTAAGTTTATCAAGCAATCGCATGTCATTTACTATTGTACATCATGTAATAGTTCAGTATGGAAACTACATCATAGTGTAATTCCATTTCATCATTATTCCTTTATTACGCAGATTAATGGTGTGGCGTGCAAATGTACCACTGCGGAGTAGCACTGTAAATAGTGCTAAGGACATCTTATATTGCAACACGTACCTGTGTAGAGTAGTGCAGTAGCTAATTCTGGGGTGTCTTATATTGCAACACGTACCTGTGTAGAGTAGTGCAGTAGCTAATTCTGGGGTGTCTTATATTGCAACACGTACCTGTGTAGTGTAGTGCTGTAGCTAATGCTGGGGTGTCTTATATTGCAACACGTACCTGTGTAGAGTAGTGCAGTAGCTAATTCTGGGGTGTCTTATAATTATATTGCAATACATACCTGTGTAAAGTAGTGCAGTAGCTAATGCTGGGGTGTCTTATATTGCAATACATACCTGTGTAAAGTAGTGCAGTAGCTAATGCTGGGGTGTCTTATGTTGTGCAGGCTGATGGTTCGTCGTGCTATCTTTGAACACCTGGACCGTCGCGGCGTGCACACGTATCTGTGGGTGTTGAACGACGAAGCTGATTGGCTGCGCGCAGAGCGGCTCAACGTCACCGGAGTCATGACGGATTTCCCCAGCAAGTAAGCAACGTGGCCTGCAGGTGGCGCCAACGTCTCTTGCTTTGCCCCAGCCCGATCGATTACCTGGCACGTAGCTGTGGTGGTTGGTCAGGGGTCGGGGTTAGTCTGGGTTCGTATGCATTAGGGATCTATCTTGTACAGGGAATTATCCGTTGTGTCTTATTGGCATCTAGGATAGCAAAGCAGTAGAGAATATACTCCTAATATAGTAGAGAAAGTGTGAAAGAGAGAGAGAGAGAGAGAGTTGAAACTGTATGCTTGTAGGACTATTTTTTATTCCTCGATGTATTTATACCATCCATTAGCAGGGGTAGTAATTGACTTTTGAACAAGGGAGTCCGCAGCAAAATGATGGAGTCCGCAGTCTGAAGTTCAAAACTAAAGCAATTAACAACAAGTTAATGTTGTTCAAGTTAACGCATGTGCTTATTTTGAGGATTCATGCGATGCACGTCTGCCAAATTTTTTGGACATTTGCTGAAAAAATACGGCCGTGCTCTGGAATGAACTAGTAGAATTTTCAGGAAGTCACACGGACTCCTGCATTATATATCAAATCAGGCCGTCCGACATTAAATCAGGGAGTGTTTGACTCCGGACTCGCGTTAATTTCGCACCCTGCAATAGCATCAGATTTTTCATGCCGTGCTTCCAGCGTGATGTTTCTCATGCTCATGTTGTGTTGGCAGGTATACACAGTTCCTATCCAGCAACGGGTTTGGTCAGAAGTGATTAATGAAGGAAGGGTAGTCGTGCAGTGACCCCGGTGGCATCACTGTGACCTTTGACACGTCACTGTGACCTCTGCTGAATCGCCCGTGACCTGTGTTAGATGAGTGTCGCCTATGCCGCATCGCTGTCACCTCTGCTGCGTCACCACGACCTCTGCCGTGACCTCGCATTATCGTGGACCGTACTTTGCGCGGCGATGCGCCGTTCGGTCATAAAAGCGGCGAGGAGCGAGGTGTTCTCCATGTTGAGATGTCTCGTACGTGCTGCGGATGCTGCGTTGGGCACGTTGACATGTCTTTTTCATTGGCCCGCTCCTCTTTCTTTCTCCTGAATCCCGCCGTTACTGTGCTAATGCTCCGTCTTCTTCAAATTTTTGTATTGGTGCTCGAGGTTACTCAAACAAATTGTTTTAATCCCATCGCCTAGCATTACCATGGATTTGGTTAATTGTTAGGGTTGGTGAGTACACCCGTGACCTTTCACATTCCAATTCCTATTATCTGAATTTATCATAACCCCTGTTGTTTTATACAACGTGACCGCTTTCACTACGTATTTATTTTCAAGCACATTCTCCCTCAATTTTGTGCATGTCAGCCTGTGGCATCTCATGTCAGCCCATGATGTGTTATGATGTTCCATGGTATGTTGTGTCATGTTGACATATGCTACAGCACCATTTGTGTTTTAATCTTGACACGGTTATTTGATTTCATTATTAAATTTGATACTCATGTGTCAGTAATTTTAAGCCACCTTGATTGCTGGGTTGGATCACTGCAAGCAGGAAGTGTGGCTCAAATAACAAACCATGTGCAAAGACTAACAAGCAAGGGATGAGGGTTGTAGAATCATCACTATGCATGGTTCTGTATGTGCCTGCTTCTCCTGGGAAAGCTTGCATGCTGGTAGCAATACCCAATTTTGTTGCTATCAAAATACATATATATATATACATATTTATTACTCGAGTTATTTTGTGATGACGTATATGCCAGCCAGAGCTACATACCCACTCTCGTGCAATTTGTTTACACACGTGATTAGGAAAAGACGATTTATTTCACAGTGTGTAAATTACTGCCAGTATATGATGGGGAGCGGGTGTTAGCTTGCACTCTGACGTAACCTTGCCTGTTAGTGCATGACAACGTTACCGTGGTGTAGGCATGTTTATCACTTATAAGTTATACTTATATTATATCCGTCGTCCGCCGGGGCCTATCTATGTTCACGCTGTAATTTATACATAATTTATTAATTTTACTCGTGTGCATGTGTGGTTATTTTACCGTGAACATGTGTTTACTAGCAATATATGACTGAAAGGGTCTATGTCCTCTAGGGTACTGCCGGAACGTACCCTGGGTACGGTCCGGTATACCGGAACGTACCCTGGTACTATCTAATATGCTGGACCGTACCTCGCCTACTCCTCTAACGAGTCTAGGTAGTCGCCTACGCCTACTCCCTAACTCTAACCCTAACCCTAACAATATCAAATAGTTACCAGGGTGCGTTCCGGTATACCGGTCCGTACCCAGGGTACGTTCCGGCAGTACCCTGGGGGACATAGACTCCATGAGCCAATATATGTGTACATAATTTCATCATTTTACTCATTGCATGTATATAGTTATATTGACGATCGTTTAACTGCCTGTTACTATGCTCCCGGTGAATGTTACGAGATTTTGTTAGATCACAGATTCGCAGGTGTTTTTAAATAGTGACTAATCTGACATGTTGTGTAACATGCTAGAACTACTGTAGGATCAGACTTTCTTGTGTTCCCATCTTGCCAATCTGAATCCTGGGTACCATTATCAACCACATAGCAAAATAAACCCATAGATTCCTGCATACGCTGTTATCATGAACGTATCTATACTCTGTCGTATATCAGGATAAGTATGTTAGTAGGTTCATGCTATTATAAGCTATGTTCAGGCACCTATAGAAATTTCTATAGGCACTTATGACACTTATATATAGGCGTATTATAGAATCATGTCTATGCATACACCTGTCAGGACCACATCTTAACATATGTACGATACATACTTACAGATATTCCCCGATTGACACAGATTGTCTGTGTATGTGTGCATGTTATAATATGCCCCTGACCAATGTATACATATTTATACCTATGTATAAATATACGTATTCATGATATTAGGCATACCTGCACAATTGCTGTAATACTAGGTGTTGGTAACAGCATGAGCCTACGTCTACTAATGCTGAGAGGGTCTATATGTCCCCCGGGGTACTGCCGGAACGTACCCTGGTACTATCTAATATGCCAGACCGTACCTCGCCTACTCCATTAACGAGTCCAGGGAGTCGCCTACGCCTACTCCCTAACTCTAACCCTAACCATATCAAATAGTGACTAGGGTACGTTCTGGCAGTACCCTGGGGGACATAGACCCTATGAGCTCTACTAATATCATGACCATAATATATATATATATAATATATATATATATATATATATATATATATATATATATATAATATATATATATATATATATATATATATATATATATATATATATATATATTAAAATAATGCTAGTATATATTAATATACATAGGTGCATGGTAATGGTTGTCATATATGTAAAACGTATGTATAGTAATATGTTATATGTCTCACATACGCCGCACACGCCGAGTTTTCAGCCTCGCGGACAGATATTTTCCTCACCGCCTCGCGAGACCGAAAACTCACATAAATCGACCGCGCAATTTTATTGAAACATTTTATTTACGAACCATGTCCGAAGGATGTGCGTTGTGCCTTTTGAAGCAGGAACTGTCCAATTCATTTTTTATTTTTTTTCATCATTTTTTTTACTTTAAAGAAAATTGACAATAAAATGTTTAGGGTAGCTGGGAATAAATAGGGTCGGTCGGGAAACGGTAACCACACCTATATTTTGTTTTGGCCTAAGAGTAGACATACTATAGTGGTAGCATGGGCTACATAATTACCCTGCTATACGCACGTCTGGACTCTCACCTAGTACCTTCACGGGATATAATAGCTTTTGCTGTTTGATGTGATAGGGTATGTGAACCCAGATGCCAAGGTAAAGTAAACCGAACAATCTACCTAAGTCTGCCTAAGGTTAACTGTAAATCGTATATATGAAGTTGTAGATCATTGTTTCCCCTAGTCCGAGATTCCTCTGACCAATGCCCACACCGACGATTTTGGTGGATTTGGTATGGGTTACCACACCAAATCCACCAAAATCATCGGTGTGGGCATTGGTCAGAGGAATCTCGGACTATGTTTCCCCCTGCCTGCCAGTTAATCAATCACACAACGTCTTACATACAAGGGTAACTTGAGGGATCTTCCGAGAAGTGTTCTGTATAGGGAGGTGGCTGCTCTATAGAGGTGTTCGATCACACAGGTTTAACTGTATATGTTCGAACACTTGCTCGTCGTGGTATTATCATAACGGTCAAGGTAATGTAGGCAGAAATTCCATTGAATCCCTAGTCTCTTGATATGCTAATCTTTCTGGAGCCGAGGATAGATACTGAGCTTTAGTAGCATATGGCCTGCATATAGCATAACTCACCCAGATTGGGAGCGGTTGCAGTGCTAGTGCCAAGGATAGATGTTCAAGTAACTGTCCAACTAGATTACTCGTGTATGTACCTATCCCCCCATTCTTGTTCAAGAAGGGTAAAGAACATTTGTGGTAATTAATCTAAGGCGAACACTAATTGGTTTGGTGTTCATCAAGTGATTGTGATGTCATCGATGATGCGGTCTTAGAAAGTTGCTGTCAGGTGCACACTCGCAAGCTGGAACTCTTTGCCTACGTACCAAACTGGTTCTTCTACGTTATCAACAATATTCTGGCATTGTTTTCTTTTTTAAGTTGTACGGTGGGAAGTGAAGCTGCAAAAATATATATTGCTAATCATTCAACTATTCTGTTCACTTGTATCCATTTGTTCGAGTTTCTGCTCACTCCAGGTTTTCGGCAGAGAAAAACCGATACTAATACGAAGAAAGATCGAGGATATCTAATGAATTACAATACTACACAATGTTTTATTTGTAACGTAGCGAAAACAAGTGTTTACGACAATTCTAATTATACGGTTTGCTATGTACATCCTTTATACAGTACGAGAGTGTATACGTTACTCACACGCACGCCCACCACTCCTGAAATCTTAAAAGTGCTACGAATATTTACAAACAATAACATAATTGTGACAAATAAATCCAGACCATTCTTTTAGCGCTTCACCTCACGCCATGAGGTCCTGAAACCGGTTGTCAGAATCATATATAGCTATTACATAACATCTCTAAACAGCGTAACCTTTGACAAGGAGTGTTGCGCAAAAGTTACGACATTTTGATGCCGAGTGGTAATAACCTAGTTATGATGTGTTGGACAATGGTCCCCTAGTCATGGACTTTAACAGTTAACTTATAAGGGGGAATACGATTCTACATAATTATACATAACTCCTTAGCACTACTCACAGAAGAGCGGTTTGATTAGCAGAGTGGAAGCGAGAGAGAGAGAGAGAGAGAGAGAGAGAGAGAGAGAGGGAGAGAGAGAGAGAGAGAGAGAGA